CTATTGTCCATTCAATACTTTTTAACAGTCCTTTGGGAGGGAGATCGACTACAATTCGTATTGGATCCCTTTCGACTGATCAACATATTTTGTTGCGCATTGTTTGCACAAATTTTGTTGTGTTTAGTTTTGAACAAGCAAAAAAAGTTGTCGAGTTTTTGTTTTGGATTTCTGCTAGCCTGCATCCAAAACAAAAACGCATTCGCTAGCCAATCGCTCGAGCGGAGCTCCTAGCATTTGCCTATCGCTGGACTCTTGCTATCGCTGCACTCTCACTGTAATCCTACCTATCCTATACTACCCCTAAACCTAAATACTATAAATACTCAAGTCTCACTTCGTGAAGAGACTCTGTTGAATATTATTTTATCTGAGGGATTACATTTATCACATCCTACATTTTATTCAATCTCCTCGATTCAACCAAAATTATTGAAAACATCAAATTCATATAATCAAAACACCAAAATCCAACGTTCGCATAATCGTCAGTTCTGAACATCAAGAAAGGTGACCGGAGTTCCGATTGAAGGAGAACCTAAGTTCTTGTGTGATCTACAAAGTATAAAAGGTCGGGAGCTGGAGCTGGAAAGCGCAGTCCAAGAGGGCCGTGGTGATTACAGACAAGACATTAGAAAGTACCAAGGTTTAGTCGTCTAAACAGTGGATACTACTGGCTTGGATTCGAAGTATTAAGTCTACTGGATACTACTTGCTTGGACTCGAAGTTTTTATCTCGCGAGGGAATTTCTCCGTCAATAATTTCGTGGTATTGTTTACTTTCATACAATATATCAACTGTAATAGTTCAACATATGATAATATTGCATGTGAATTAATCTAGATTAAATTAATAATTGTAATTTTCTACTGTTCTCAATTAACAAGTTTAAATTCCGCATACAAACACCTACTCATCCCCCTCTAGGTGTTAGTTGGGTCAAACTCATAAATTTCATATTTAATAAAAACCAAATGACAATAAACTTACAATGAGAGTTTAAATACTAAAAATCTAGGAAGAAACTTTTCTCGCATAAGACGTAAATATCCCTAACTAAATTAACAATTAAGTACATGAAAAATAAAACGATTGATTAAAATAAATTAAAACCGGCTTGATTAATTTTTTTGCATTATTCTCCTTGTTGGTTCTTAAATAGCAATTAAGGGCTCAATTCGTAACCCTAATCTAGAAGTCTAATTTTCAAACCAAAATTGATTTCTGCAAGAAAACCAAAAAAAAAAAACTTGGCCGGATGAGTAACATTGTGCCGCTCCCTGGAGAATGGAAGAGATTTCAAGTTTAATCTAATTGAGATCAAAATCACTTTCTTACGAAATTGAAATATAGATTTGATTTATTGTATTATTTCTTCAATTCAAGTTTTTATATGAAATGCAAACCCTAATCCTATTTGGAATAGGAAACCTATACATTTTCTTCTCGTATCATTTCCTAATCCATTTGAGGACACCTAACTGATACAAACTGGTACAATAGCAAAGCGAGAATTGCACCGATAAATTTAAAAACCCATTGATTCTATGAATATTGGGAATTCGTTAATTAAAAATTCGTTTATTCTCAAGAAAACAAAAATTTGATATTGTTATGAGAAGAATCTCAAACATTACAAGAAAACGTTTACAAGGACCAAACAAATTAGTCACTAAAATCTATATTCTGGTCACTGAACGTATTTACTGACCAAACAATCGTGTCGAAGGATGATCACTAATTCACCGTCGGTGAAGGACATTAGTGACCAACTCACTATGGTCGCTATAAGCTTCAACATTCTGCAACCTTATATTTCTCTTGAAGTGGTTGCTATGTACATAGGGATTAAGTGACCACCTTAAAATTGGTAGCTAAAGCTCACCTTTCATAAACCAACGTTTGGTCGATAAGGTTATAATAATACAGACCAGATTTTGGACGGTTAATGCATAAATCTAGCTACCAATTAATCCTTGGTCGTAGAAGGTAAACCTACAACGTCCAAGACGTGATTGCTAAATGTGTAGATCGAGCTAAGAAACATTGGTCGAAGAAGGTTTCCCTTTATGTTGATGTAGTCACCAGCAACAATGAATTAGTCGATGGATGTCTACAATTTTTTTTTTTTTTTATATCATTTAGCAACCAAATTTTATTTAATAAACAACCAAATGACGATAAAGCTACATGAGAGTTTAAATACTAAAAATCTAAGACGAAAACCCTATTCTCGCCAAAGACATAAATTCCCCTAAAAAATTAAGTACTTGAAAATAAAATCTGCCGCTAAATCTTGATGAAGCCTAAGTAGTCAAATGAGGAGATAATATCTAGAACTTTGATCAGTGGCTGTAGGAAGATGGACGAGCACAAAATGATTTGAGTAGAATTTTCCAATTCACTGATATTTGATTTTTTGGGTAATCTAAAGGATTTAAAAAGGGATTAGATACCCAGTGATTGAGATTTTCGATTGAGGTTTTGAAATTGAAGCTTCTTTTTCTGGTTACATGGCGTTGAATTCTGTACATTTCAGTTTATTCTTCAAAGCTAACTCTGTACTGTAAATTCGTATCAAACTATGATCCAAAGTTTGTTTACATTTTTTAAGTATGACAATAGTTGAAATTAGAGAAGATTGGATAGAACAAAACCATAGGGAGCATGGAACTTGACANTACCAATTAATCCTTGGTCGTAGAAGGTAAACCTACAACGTCCAAGACTTGATCGCTAAATGCGTAGATCTAGCTAAGAACATTGGTCGAAGAAGGTTTCCCTTTATGTTGATGTAGTCATCAGCAACAATGAATTAGTCGCTGGATGTCTACAATTTTTTTTTATATCATTTAGCAACCAAATTTTATTTAATAAACAACCAAATGACGATAAAGCTACATGAGAGTTTAAATACTAGAAATCTAAGAAAAAAACCCTATTCTCGCCAAATACATAAATACCCCTAACAAATTAAGTACTTAAAAATAAAACCTGCTGCTAAATCTCGATGACGCCTAAGATAGTCAAATGAGGAGATAATATCAAGAACTTTGATCAGTGGCTGTAGGAAGATGGACGAGCACAAATGGTTTGAGTAGAATTTTCCAATTCACTCATATTTGATTTTTTGGGTAATCTAATAAATGTACTCAATGATAAAACTAGTAATACAACAAAAATCAACAAGATGATTTTTTTCCAATCAGTAAGCCCCTTTTGTGGGATTCATTACTAATATGCTTGTTTGGGTTTCATTATAATTAATCTCCTTATAGTTATTATGTTCCATCAACACAGTAGAAGTGTTATTGAAAAAATCCTTGGGATACTGAAATAGAAAACATCCCTCCTAATAAAAAAGACAGAAAAGAGGCATTTTAGATGCCACTGTCAGGCGTGTAGGGAGGTTGGGGTGGTGTGGTTCTTAGTTCAGTAATCATATTGTGATGATGAACATTGGTCTATGGGGTAGTGATACCGCTACCATATTGTCAAATGAAGTTACGCATTTTTATTTATTGAATAATCTGACACTAATACCATTCCGGCTGGCTGCTGTTCATCACCATCATCACTGCTGTTGAATAGCATTATTCTTCTTTGTATGGGGGTATATAAAAGCAGAGAAAACTAGTGAAACAGAAGAAAAATCGTTGCAATAAGATGAAAGAAAAACTTATTTTGAACTGTCATTCAAAATGCGTTTGCAGCTTTGATTTCATGTTAAGAAGTTGATTTTACATTCTGGTCTAATACAGATTTACAAACAATTGCCTCTGTCTAGGTGGTTCTCTCCTCTGTACAAGGAACTACTTCAAGTTGGCTACCTCCTGAAAGATAAAGCATTTCATTAACGATACATAGTCAGTCTTGAAAGTCAGAAAGTGCGACAATCTTGTTTTTCACTAGATTGCAAATACAGTTACCGTTTCTGATTTCTTTCTCAGTCTTGGCTTTTTGAACAGACAGATCTTGCCTGATCGTAGTCGTATGCCCTCTTGTTCATCAGATGAAATACCGGGATCTTGTTGCTCACGTGATTGCAAATTCTGAGAGTGAGCAGGTCCAGATTCATTTGCTCCTGAAGTTGAAGCATTTTTTGGTCCTGATATACAAATGTTATTTCTCAATCTTACTAGAAAGAGGGGATCCTTCATTTTAAACAATAGAAAAGTTATAAAGAGCATGCTTGCCTTAGCTTCCTTTCCTAATATGTTTAGGTGTATTACTTTTTCTCACTTTTAAGATTAGCCAAACATGCTCTTCAAACAAGCATGAACAAATCTTAAATATAAAGAATCCTCACCATTTTCTGAATCCATGTTGCTCTGGTACAAAGGCTTCTTCAGCCATACAGATCCTGGATACTCCATGAAATTGACTTTGCTCAAACTATGTCTGTCTTCGTATTCCAAGGGTTCAAAGCCATTACCCTTGGTCCACGTCTCCACTACGCTGGGGACAGCAGATACAATGAGCTTCTTGACCTTCAAGGACTTTAGCATCTAAAGCCACAATTGAACTGAAATTACTAACATTGATACAGAAGCAGTAGGAACAGACACTCATTGTCAAAATTGTTCATGACTCTTTAGAAATAACAACTGAACATATGGTAGATGTTTGTGTGAAGATAGAAATAAAATAAAAAATAAAAAAATTCAGATTCCATTTAGGATGTGCTCCCATTAATAAAGAAAATTTCACAATATGCCAAACACAATGAACCAAGCCAAATAAACACAAACGAAATGTAAAAAATAATATGCGAAAATTTTGGGAAATTCCCTTAGTTGATTGGGAAAATCTACCTTTACATTTAACGAAATACAATCTGAACAAAAGATTTTGCGCTAAAGCTTGAAAAAATCGTGAAACATTACTCTTGGTACTTCACCAACACTAAGAAACAGTCCAAATTACAGAGATCTGAGATATACAATTACCTAAGAAACCCTCAATATGAGAGATTTTCCAACCAAAAAAATCTTTCTAATCAAAAGGTGAATGCCCCTGAGAAGCTCAACTCCATGCTATCATATTTGACTAAAGGAAGCTCTGCTACATTAACTCCATGGATTCTGAATCAAGGTCAAATATCACATTATAAAAAAATAATGCAAAGTTACATGTAAAGAAATGCAGCACAATTAACGAATTAAACAAATATTGAAGAATTACTTGGGATAGCATGAAAGGACAAATAATAATTGAAGAGCCAGAGTAGATAAAATCTATAGCAAAAAATAAAATAAATAAAGATGTCCATAGAATAAAAATAAATAAAAATTAAAACTGCTGTATGGTTTCAAAATCAACCAAGACGTGTCAGTTTGAAGGTCTTTGACAATATTACTAAGACTACTTGTCTTGAAGTTTCAGTAATATTTTCTCCCTAAAACACATTGTGCTTGCATAAAATTAAACAAGAATGTTGAAGGGCTTCCTAATTGCCACAGAAGAAAATAAGATTTATAAAAACGAGATCCATCATACTATACTAAATTGAAGTTGTCAATATGGGCTTTAGAACTTTTGGGACTGAAACAAGTTAGAATGTTTCTTTTAACACCCACAACGAGGAATCACCAAGAAGTACGTGATATTAGATGTAAGAATGCTACAGTTTCCTAAGTAAACTTTAAGATGGGAGATGATAGCACGACTGAAAGGTACTCATTCTTTTAACACCCACAACGAGGAAGCAACAAGAAGTATGTGATAATAGATGTAAGAATGCTAGAGTTTGCTAAGTAAACTTTAAGATGGGAGATGATAGCACGACTGAAAGGTACTCAAAGACAGTATATTGAAGAAATGTATACAAATCATACATCATAGTTTACCTGATGGATGCTACAGACATCATGATAGCATCTTTCTCCAAAACCACAGTATAGAACCCACCATAGTTCAGACGTGGGAATTCTGATCTGAAAGAAACACAGCAACATTGTTTTCAGTTCTAGATTTAAGTTATCATTGAATGTTGATAAAAAAAATAGTGAGGTAAAATGGGGAGAGCAAACTCAAAATCGATTTGCTTAGTTGAGGAAATAAAGTCTGAATAGCAAGTGCAGTAAAAATGAGTACAATATGGTTCTCAAACAGCTTAATTTAGTTTGAGCATAATGGTTTACTAGCATCTACTAAAAGCAATAAGCACATCATACAGATTTCAAATGTATACATGCACATCACGTAGCATCTACTACAAGCAAAAAGCACAAGTTTATAATATTCTTCAATGGAGCGAGAATCTTGGGAAATTTTTTTCCAATTCAAGCTCCAGCAAAAGAAGCCACAGAAGATTGTTGCTTTGAGTGTGGATTTTCTTCAAGTACTCCCACATACAATGAGCTGACTTGTAATGTCTGAGATTAAAAACAATCCGTGCATCAGCAAATCCAATTATCCAAGCCATAATTCGAGAATCCAATTTGTTCCCACAGATCTCCTTTTCCTTCAACCAATAACTAAAAGTAAAATGCCCATGAAGAGTAGTTATTTCCAGTAAAGTGAATACAAATTGAGTCCCTTTTTTTAGTTGACATTATGAAACTGTGTACAATCTAACCAATAAATTAATCACAACCCAACTAAATAAATTCTGCCCAATCAGAAAAACCAGCCCAACAAATTAAATCAAACAGCCAATTGCCCAAGCCCAATTAAACAAACAGCCAACTGCCAATTAAACCAATAGCCAACAAGTCTAATTAAACAAGCCTATTTAAACAAACAGCCCAAGACAATTAAACCAACAACCAACACTACGAACTACTAATATCTCATAGAAGCAATGCGAGACAGCTTGCTTCGATGACAGACGCAATGTATACACGCCGGTAAAGAGAGAACCACCCTCAGATGATGCTTGAAACGCGAGGCGCGACTATGATGAACTGATAGCCGACCACAGATGCTGACTACGATGAGGGAGCAACTATCCACACCCATCGTCAGAAACGTGAGTAGTGACCACTGGAGGCATATTATGATGAATAGGGAGCAGAGTGCTTCCGCCAGACGAAAATCATAGCCAAAAAAGAAACTTTACGCTAACTTGTCTAAAATGTTATACAAAGCCAAAATCATGTGGAGTATTTATACAATTCAAAATAATATGTTTCAGGTAGAAAGAGTATCAAAAAAAATATAAAAAATCGTGAACAAAATCTGCCCTGATAACATGGTCGCTCTAGTGGCCAGGTTCGTGCCTAGGATAACTCTCAAGTGCCCTGCCCAACCCTACAGCAAGCGAGTGGCATATGCTCCAAATGGCACCAAAGCGCTAAATTTCTATTCCAAAACCAATATTTCAACCCGGTTGCCGCCTAGGCGCTTGGACTAGGCACCCAATCTCTGTTACAAAACTCCTTTAGTCCATATTTTGACCTCTTAGACTTTCAACAAATCCATAAATACAAGATGGAATTTGGGTCATTCTTTAACAACCTCTAATAATCAGAATATGGATTATAGTCAATGCTCTGACTATTTATTTGTAAGAACAACAATTACCTGTGATTGCTAAATTCTGAAGAACATAAAATAATATCTGAAGGGGAAGTAGAGCGAAAAACTAAAACTTGTAGTTCTTGCTAGATACATCCGTTCTTTACTGCTGAAGAAAAATAATAATTAAACAAACGAAAGTGGGTTGTTCGAGGCTGAGCATTGTTGCTTTGAATGTAGATTTTCTTCAAATACTCACACATAGAACAATCTGACTTGTAAGGCCTCATATTAAGAACAATCTCGGCATCAGGAGATCCATTTATCCAAACCATAATTCGAGAATCCTTGGGCAAGATACTTCTCCTCGTCTTTCCCTTGATCAGGATGCAAAAGACTTCCATTAATATGTCCCCACAAATCGTCTTTTTCCTTCGATCAATAACCGAAAGTGAAATGCCCATGAAGAGAAGTTCTTGCCAGTAAAGAGAATACAAAAGTAGTCACTATTTTTAGTTGACGCTATGAAATCGTGTATAGTCCAGCCAATAAATTAATCACAACACAACTAAATAAATTATTTCCAATCAAACAAACCTGTCAAACAAATTAAATCAAACAACCAAGTGCCCAAACCTAATTTTAAAAAACAGCCAACAAGCCCAATTAAACAAACAACCCAAGCCAATTAAACCCAGTAGCCAACACTACGAACTACTGAATAACACACAGAGGTGACATGAGACAGCTTGCTCTGACCATAGACACAATGTATACACAATGAAAAAGATAGAAACACCCTATTGGGTTTTGATACCCAATAAATCCCGGGTGATGATGTTAAACCGATTTTGGATAATTTATATATACACCTTAGTGATGGCTCGACCAGAAAACAACTTAGGGCCACTAAGAGCAACTTTATTGATTTAATTTTACTCGTGACCCAACATTCATGGATGACCCAAGTTATTGACTTAGATGGGGATATTAGTGGGCCCATTGATTCTTAACATTATCCCTTTTGTTGGAGGCCCAATACTTTAGTTTGTCCAATTGACTTGGTCCATATTTGGTGATCTAATTAACCAATCCCTTTGTGATATTGCTACCACCGACTTCCTCATTTGTAGGGGTGAAAACTAGTGGCAACCAGAGTGTTAAAGGTATTGGTCGAAACCTCCTCAAATGATGCTTGTTTGGTTGATTAAAGTGAACTTGGATCAAGATTTCTCTTAGATTTTAACACCAAATGGTATCAGAGCTTGTGTTGTTGAGAAATCTGTGATTTTTTGGGGCAAAAACCAGTTGGAACATGTAGAAATTGAGGCTGGAAAATAGGCAGATAATAGGGACGAAAAACTGGGATTTTTCTTCAAATTACCGAAACTGATTTTTTGTTTTCTAGCCAAACTAGTGGCTATTGGAAAAATGGACACCATTGGTGGATTTAGCAGGTGGAGGCATAGCTAGAGGTGGAGTGCATAGTGGTCGATAACAGCGCGTGGGACTCTGGTACTAGCGCGTGAGCTGGATTTTGATGACGGCATCAAAAGACAGAAAGTTTCTGACAATAAGACGGACCCTGCGGTGTTGTTGGATTTCAATTTTAGGCTATACAGTGAAATTTGGACGATTTTTCCTTTCGATGTCTGGGTGCTGGGTGCCATTTTGTGTTGCCACGGTTGTTGGAAGCTTTAGGGCAACTAGTGGCAATCCTAAAGTAGTGAATTTACATCTCTCGATATTTACGGGCCTTCAGATGTGGTGTACTTGGTATTGTTTTCTTTCCATTTTATTATTGTAGCTATGGTTATCGTATAGGATAACAATTTACTTTTTGCATTAAAAGTCATCTTGTGAGGTGACTTAGAATTGGGGTTACCATGAAGGGGTAACCATTGCCTGTTACTAGACCTAAAAATTACTTGTTAATTATTTGCCTTGAATTCTTTGTGAATTTGTTGCCAATTAAAGTTTTTCATTATTAGAGTTGCATTGACCTTAGGAATTTTTTTTGTGTAAATTGTGTCAGTACTTTCCTTGTGGTCGTTATTTGTTGTATCTTGTGTTTTGAGCATTTTTGGTAAAATGACAACACAATTTGAGTTGTGTATTTTCTAATGGAAAAATGTGATTTTTCAATTTGACAAAACAATATGTTTTTTATAAAACTTCTGACGGAAAATGTAGGTCTAATGCAAGTGAGAAAAGTAAGATATATTTTAACAGCAATAAATTTTTGACATGGTGAAACAGACTGTCTTATGAATGATAATAACAGAAAAGATAAGGAGAGACGTGAGACAAATGTTGCCATTGGGTTGAGTTATGACCTATGTGAGGTTTATTGAGAGTAAACTTGGTTATTGTATGTGTATTTGTGTGTAATCCTTTCTGCATGTATGATCACTTAATTCTATTGCAATGTTGATATGTTACATTTTCAATATGTTTGATGTGTGTAATTGCATAAATTAGAGTGATCTTATTACTTTGTGTAATATTTTTGCATGCATAGTGGATTGAGATCTGTGGCGTACTCCATTTTACTCTTTGAGTAGTGTGAGAGAATGTGGTATTGAGAAGAAAGAAGAACATCCATTTTCTCCTTAATCTTTGTGAGTCAGTTCGATTTGTAAGATTATGTGAGGCAGCCATGTATCGTTTATCTTCTTCCTCTTTGTGAGCCCCTTTTGTGAGTGTTATGGTGTAACCATCTTTTTCTTCTATTCTCTTTTTAAGTGCCACTTTCACCCAATCCTTTGCGAATTTCTTGAGCTTTGGCATTGGAGTAACCTTGTGGTACGTGAGTGACGCCAGACATAATAGTAACTATTCTGTAGGCTAGTTCTACTAGCAAATTCACAGGGAAGAACAAAGAATTAAGGCCGAAAAACACAGAGAAAACGTCTCTGAAGTTTAGAGAATTTTATTATATCACGCAATGATGAAAACAANCAGAAAAGATAAGGAGAGACGTGAGACAAATGTTGCCATTGGGTTGAGTTATGACCTATGTGAGGTTTATTGAGAGTAAACTTGGTTATTGTATGTGTATTTGTGTGTAATCCTTTCTGCATGTATGATCACTTAATTCTATTGCAATGTTGATATGTTACATTTTCAATATGTTTGATGTGTGTAATTGCATAAATTAGAGTGATCTTATTACTTTGTGTAATATTTTTGCATGCATAGTGGATTGAGATCTGTGGCGTACTCCATTTTACTCTTTGAGTAGTGTGAGAGAATGTGGTATTGAGAAGAAAGAAGAACATCCATTTTCTCCTTAATCTTTGTGAGTCAGTTCGATTTGTAAGATTATGTGAGGCAGCCATGTATCGTTTATCTTCTTCCTCTTTGTGAGCCCCTTTTGTGAGTGTTATGGTGTAACCATCTTTTTCTTCTATTCTCTTTTTAAGTGCCACTTTCACCCAATCCTTTGCGAATTTCTTGAGCTTTGGCATTGGAG